GCCAAAGGCAGCCACTTTAGCGTATTTGATTCGGTTCTAGTCTAAGTTTTATCGAAACACTATTAATCGACGTATGTTTATATGAACTGAAAACTATTTCTGAATTTTACACATAAATTTAGAACAAGTTTAGTTCTGAGTTTTTAGGTCTAATGAAAAAACTCTCTTAGATTGGAAATCTGCTAATACAAAGGGGTTCAATATGTGATCATATCCACTTCTGGTCCCTCAGATTAATTAAATCATAGTTGGATTTGTCACTGATTTTATTACTTAGTTTTCCCTAATTACAGAAATTAGATTGAGGTCCAATAGCTTACGAAGAAGCTTGCTTTTAAAGATAGAAAAGGTTATAAACTTTGCAGAGAGCTTGAATCCATAAACTATTAATTGTTGGCGAACTCTAAAAAGCAGCAGAAGGCTAGTTTCATCTATTTTATTGGAGAGAGGAAATCTGAGGTAGAAGTTCGCACAATTTTACTCTTACCAAATCTAGAGACAGATCGACGGTGAGTGATACTTGATCGGAGAAGAGGCATCTACATATTATATTTATTTCCTTCATCTCTATTAGATTTTTGTTACACGGCTCTCGAGAAAATATTGTCTGTACAATCTAAGGGCAAAAGAACTGGGAGAAGATTAAACAAATCGGCTACACTATAGAAGGCTGTAACTCAATAAAATTTTAATATGTTATTTGAAAAAAATGATTTTTAAAAAATTGCACACTATATGTTCTTCTTAATATATTTCTTATGAGTTTAGGATGATCTACCAATATATAAAGCTTTGGTTCGTCTTCACTCATCATTAAGGAAAAGGGTTATGTATTCCAAGTGAGTTTTATCGATCGGCTATCAGCCACACAACTCAACCTTATCCACCCCAAGCTAGCTTACTTTAAAAAAATGTGAGTTTTATGAGAAATGCAGCCAGGACTTCCACTGTGATAACATCAGACTTGATCTACAATAGATCGAAATTGAAACTAAGAATCAACATCTTAAGACGTCTTCTAAACTTCTAAACTGTGATAATTACTATTATTATTATAAAAATAATTTCCCTTGCAATTTAGCCCCTTTCCCCTGTAGTGAGTTTCTAGTTCCACCAGTGAAAAGTTGCAGTGCCATTTTTTGTGGCTTCGTTGCGCAATGAGTGAACAATACTCAATCACGCAAATGCAATTACACATGTAACAACAAAAAAACAAGAACATTTTTTGCACTCACAGCATATTAGCGAGCAGCGCTCATACACATCAGCACGCACTTCCTTCCTTTGAGCAAACTTAATTTAAAACGATATTTTTTCTGTTTTGTACCGAACATTACCTCGATAAGGCAGGAATCTCACTTACATGTGCAACATATTTTTTATACCACCATAAAACACCTTTTATCGTACAACACTCTCATTTAATCATATACCGTTCCCACTTTTTTTGCAATTACTTTATTTGCCACTTTGCCCAGGTTCACTCCTTTGCCTTCTAAGCACCAATTCTCTCCATCCTTGTGTGTCCAGACTGTTGGAGCTGCTGCTTCTGCCATTTGCTGCAAAGATTTTCCGTTCACATTCGTGACTTTCGTGGCAGCAACACAAAAGCCTGGTGGGTAATCAAATTGATTACGCCTCTTTGAGTGCGAGTTTAATGCACTTTGCATCCGCATTTGCTACCCATCAGTTGGTGCAACGGACAGCAGCCGGTCGACGGTAACGTGGTGGACCCACGGCACGACCGTTACTTGCCGCCTATAGTGTTAAGTGCTCGCTGGTTAGAACGTCAATACTTTTTTGCATGCGCTCTCTTCCTTTCAGTTAAATTTTGTGCTTTGTTTTAGCGACTCTCATCCATTATTTCTCATGCAGCTCAATAGAAAATTGAATTTAACGCTCAACGGCACACGCGTCCGAGTAGGGAGCCTAATGGAACTGAGGTAAATTGTATGGCGGAAATCTGTTTTTATTTGCATTTGCAGGCGGAGAAGCTGAGTGTTTTCTCCGTGATGGAGAGTTATGGGGAAAATGATTTTGAATTGTTGCGTAAGAAGATATTCTGAGAAATTTTGCAAACATTAATGCGGCAATATTTCGGCGTGTCTGCAGCAGACCATCAGCTGTGCATAACGTCGAATAACGAAAGGGAATGACATGCGTTAAGGTGCTTTCACACGAAGTTAATTTATTTTATAATGCCTTAAAATAATAAATTTTGCATGGTCTACACACTTAGACCAATAACAGTAAAACTGGTTCAATAATAGTTGAAAACAAAACGTTAACTTCGGTTGTGCGATGTTCGATGTTATAAAACTCTTCACAAATATAAAAGATTTCTTACAAGGACTTGATTTCCAAATATTAGATTGTATGGCAGCTATACGCTATAGTGATCCGATCTGAACAATTTCTTGGGAGATTGCCGCTTGAAGATTTCTTGAAGATATCTCCTTAAATGAAAAATTTTTCCATACAAGCACTTGATTCCGATCCAATGTATGAGAAAATAATCTAACTAAAAAAACTCGTTATGGTCAAACCCACGATCTCTTAATAGCCAAGTGAGTGACCATATTTGTCAAAAAAATAAATTATACCTTTACGGCTAGTCTCCTCTCTCATGCTATATTAAAATAAACAATAAAAAAAAATTGTTTCATCGTTTGAACTTTAGTACGAAATAGGATACAGTTCTACAAGACTCAAGAGGACTCAAGTAACTTTTTGCCGAAAATATCTTTCAATCTGTGGGATATATTATTGAAAATGTTTCTTTTATAGGAATATACCCTTGTTTCAAATATTAGTTGAATCGGATCTATACTTCACTTAGCCCCTATATACCCTAATACAAAAATTTGCGAACCTCCAGTCGAATTAAAAAGTTGATTTTACAATTTAAATTAATTTCCAAACTAATCTGGAGCTTCAAGGCAGTTCTCTCTTCAACTTTTCCAACATAAAGTTTTCCACACAAATATTGAACGCCAGAATTGCAAAAATCTGCTGTGAAACGCCAACAACTCTGGCGATTTTCAATAATTCCGCTCAAATTAAAGTTTTAGTCCAAAAAAATAGAAATTGAAAATTGAAATGAATGAAACAACCCTACACCAATATTTATTTATCTGCTTGCCAAATGCTCAAAACTACAACTCACTGGTAATAAAGTGCAACCTCAAAAGACGGTGTGCTTGTGCACGTGCCGTTAAGTGCTCCCCAATTGCTAGTTACCAATTTACTAGTTGGGCCAATAAGTATCTTTCATATGCATTTGCCATCAAGTGTCTGCGGGAAAAAGCGCAATTCTCGTATTTTGACTTATTCATTACCGATTGCTTGTACGCTGAAATTTCGCTGAGTGTAAGAGCGCAAACGAGTAAACGGGAAATGGGAGGTAAGTGCTGTTTGTGACCACTGAGGCATAGCGTTTGAGAATGTAGTTGCAGTAACTTTTATAAATGTATAATACCTATGCATTTGTATGTAAATGTGTGTGTATGTGTTTGAGTTTTTATGTGTAGTCGAATGCTTCTATTTCAGGTTATCACCACATCATCAACTCCAGCTTCATGTAATCCCCAAAATACTTTCATATATTTTTTGAATGCTGCAAGTGCTACAGTGAAGCTGCTGCAATGCTTGCAAAACTTTTGAAAAATGTGTTGTTATATTGAGAGTTTATGTTTACGTAAATGTGTGTGTGTATTATTTTAGTTGCTGTTCTTCATTTTGCAAGTCAACTGTTAGGTATTTCAGTGCACTTACTTACTTCAACACAAGAAAGTTGCACATTCCGCTTATATTATATACACAGTTATTAATATCCAGAAATGGACAAATTTCAATAAATCGCATGTTGTTTTTCGAGATTATGTAGCTCACTTACTCTCTCTGAGTGTAATTATTTCTTTCCGAAAATGTTCATTAAATTTTATTTATATTTGCGTATTTCAGTAAATCCTCATTGAAAATATTTCTCTAGTTGGCAAGGGTATCTAAACTTGTACAAAAGTATTACGCTGGGTTTCGCCAAGGTTAAGTTAAAACAAAAAATTGTGAAAACAAATTCATTATATTTTCAATAGATGACTTTAGTTATCTCTATCTCGCGTTGTATAAGTGCGATCGCGTTACGCTGTAAAGCGTTAAAAAGATAAGATTTCATACTAAAACAACTTCTCAGACAGTTTTGCCATTGCTTAGCTCAGTCATGGTTGAGTACGTGTCGAAGAAGGACACCAGCAAAGAGAAAATACGCCATATTTTACAGTTTTTTTCGTTAAAGACGAAAACGCAAGCCAGGCGACTGAAAATGTGGATGTTTATGGTCAAATAATTGAAATCTCGAGTCCGGTCATGTACGCACTGTTTCGATATCCCAGAAGTTACACATGAAAATCGACTGCCCCTTTTTTTTGCCAATAGCGACGAGGCTATCTTTGAGACAAATGACAACATGTTATCCAAAACGTTGCATATTTGACCTAAATCGGATTATCTTTGCGAGAAAAACCTTCAGTGGAAAGCAAAAATAGCCAAATCAAGCTCATATTCGTCAAATACATTGCAAGAAAGAAGAAAACTGAACATATACTTACAAAAATATTCTACGAAACATGGCGCCAGAATCAAATAATAGCTCAAAATCGTACTTATAGTTCGATTTTTTTATATCAGAGCTATCAAAGCTTCTAAAAGCAATAAATTTATCTGTTACGAAAACGGAAACCCCTAATTGTTTATTATTTTTGAAAATTAATCGCTAAAATAGTACTCACGGTAGATAGAGTAAACGAACAACAAAATTTTCGATTTTGTGAAACGGGCGAATATAAATACGATTAAGTATTTGTATGAGTGATATACAGTAAAGCGAATATGATTTTTAACTCCTTTCGTAAACAAATCCGTTTTGAAATCACACATAAAATATACATAAATACACATATATATATGAAATTCATATAAAATACCATTTAGCTCTGACTCACCAATATTAACGATGCCATGATTGGTTAATTCCCAACATGATTGTAGGCGTAGTATGCTCAGGCTATGACTTTGTTTCGGCGAGAAATAGCCCAAAGCTGCGTCGGTGACATGATAAGCCTGTTTAATACGAAAAAAATTATAAGAAACAAATTATGAAATTCATAACTAAAGCCAAAACACTAAATCTAGATTTGGTTTTTTTGGACATTGATGTCTTCTCATACGATTAACACTATTTTTAAAAAAAATGGGACCCACCTGTAGTGAAAATTCATATAGCGAGGGTAATAGCTGCGCCACCGCACCCACCGCTTCGTCAGCGATGTTAATACAATCCGCTAGTGAGAGTGAGACAATACGCGGGGTTAGACAGGCCCACAGACCAGCCTCGGTAACTTCATTACAACCGGCGAGCTCGAGTTCGAAAAGACTCTGTAAATATATAAATTAAAATTAATTATATATTTATATTATATAATATAATAAATGTTTAACTAAATAAAAAGTAGTCAGACGAGCAGACTAATGTCACCCTAGACATGGACATGTGCAGATCGATACCTTAAAAAACTAAGGGACTTGTTCACAGTTATATAGACAGATCAGTGTTGGCTAAATCGACTCAGCTCACTACACTAATCTTTTATATATAGGATTTCCGACGTTTCTGGGTTTTAATAACTTCGTGGCAAACCTAATAAAAAATTATACGTTCAGGGTATATCATTAACACTTGGTGCAGTAGTATTGGTAGTTTTTATTATAACAATAATTTGCAACTGTAAATTTTCCACGCGACTCAAAAGGCACGTCAACAAAGGTTTTGACGCTCTCACTATATTAATCTAATTGTCTGTATGTATTTCCGGCTGCTCGTTAGTACAACTGTCACCCCATTCGTATCAAAGTACCAAACAGCGTAAGCGCACAAATGTGTGAGTATCTGTCATGGCGTATACGTGATATAAAATATTTAACCAATTATTACTTAAGCGCATGGCAAGTTGAGCAACCAGGCATTAAAGCTGCTTAGCGGCGCTGACGCAGCGACCGCAATTAATAATACCTAAAATAGTGGTGGGGTTTTGTAATAATTATATGGAGCCCACCTTAGTTTTGATCCTTTTCAAATTTTAAGTCGCCTCTGAAACACTTTTTACTAAGCTTTTTTTAACAAAAATTCATAACATTGCCTGCCAAAAGGCAACGACTTTTAGTAAAAGCTTTTTTTATTGAAATTGGTGGGAAAAAACTAATCACTTCATCTAGCACTATAACTAAAACTCCTCAACAATAAAGCCTCTACAGTTCCCTTCCAAAAGGAACTTACATGATCAGAGATTTGAAGAATAAGCAATGTAAAGATAGCTGGATTCTAAGCAATGGATCCTATAAGGACAGGAATATTTTTCGAAAAGCTCTCTCTAGCTCCTTTATTTTTTTCTCTCTCTCTTTAAATCTTTTTTATCTCTCTCTCTTAATGATCTTCCACTGCAATATGAATTTATTTAATCGGACAGTTGAAGATATATTTCAATCCTAAGCTAAACTCTCTTTTACTTCTTTACCATATCTCTCTCTCTTTCTCTCTCTTCTTATCCTCTCCTCAAAGCTTTTCCTTTGTAGTAAGAATTATCTATGATCAGGTAGGTGTCTGAACAGAATGAGTTCGAAATTGTACTCGCATTATATAACCAGATGAAAATAAATAAGATTTAATTCGAGAAAAAATAAAACTGAGATAAAATGCAACCTAACGCTATTAATTTACAAAATATATAAATGCAGCCTAAATATGGATATAAAAAGAAAAGAACTTTGAAAAAAGACTAAATAGTAAAATGTGGAGGCCACAGCCACTGCTGCACCTCCAAACAGCATCTGGCACAATATTTCAAAAAGTTTTTAAAACTATAGTGTTTGCTCAAAACAATCGAAACAAAATCTTCATAATATCTTCAGAGAGTTTATCGCTGGCTTAACCATGAAAGATATGCCCTAAAAAGACCCGTGAGATAGTATATATAAATAAGAATTCTGGTAGATCTTTTATATAGTCTGCACTACCAATGACCAAAATATGAAGTACTTAAGGATAGACAGGAAAAAAATTAAATATTTTCGGCATTAAACTATAGTATATCCAATATTATAAGTTCAGTTAATTTTCTTAAGATATCTTACATATTGACTGATATATATGGCATACGGCCAACCGGAAGTTTGAAAATCTTATATGAGAGATAGGGGTAGTATTGACCCGATTTTCTCTATTTTTGACAATACAACATACTATTAACATAATCTCACATACCATCACGAATATGTATTCATGCAATAAAGTCAGTCAGATTTTTAAAAATTAACTAAATAACGGCCATTTATCTTATTGTGGAGCTTAGTTATGGCAATTTATTTGTTTTCGACTTATGGCGTTTTGTGGGCGTGGCATTTTTTTTTGCCAAGGAACACGTGTACAAAGTTTCATTATGATATCTCAATTTTTACTTAAGTTACAGTTTACATCCTTAACAAAAAATAGTATTTTTATAGAAAATCAAAAATTATATATATTTTTATATGTACACTTGTTACCTAAATTGAAGGTCGAGTAAACTTTTCAACTGCCCATTGCATTATCAGCTGATGTTGCTGCTGCTGTTGCTTTCAACAAAAGTTTTCTCAGCTGTCATTTAAGCGGATTACCTGTGACGTTTTCCCATTAATTTATCTACCACAAACACACCCATATATACTTATAAATATATACATATGCATACATAAACACCTCCACGAGAAGTGCTTAATGGATTTATGATTGTGTGTAAATAAAATGTACATAGGTACTTATATAGTTGAATTTCGGCATCAACGCCAGAATTAAATAAGTTTTTGAATACTAACCACTTTAACTTTGGTGTGTTTCTACAAGGGTAGTTGGATGAAGATCTAAAAAAATTTTGTTGAAACCAACAGCAATTTTAGACAACAGGTTAGGAATAATATTTTACCCGTTTTCAATCACATTTTGAAAAGTCCATCTAGAGGCTAAGAAATTCTAAACTAAAGTTAAGGAACTTTCTATGTTCAGCGCGATGATGTATGCTTTTATTACATTGAAGTTATCACCTACTCGATTAAATGATACCGTTACTTGTTTTATTCGGTTCCGTTAGCCAATCTCATCCCTTTTAATACCCTGAACAGAGTATATTAAGTTTGCCACGGAGTTTGTAACACCCACTTCAAAACCTTTATAAAATATTTACATAAATGATCAACGTCTGCCTATTTGTATATACGCGAACTAGTTCCTTAGTTTTTGAGATATCGATTTGAAATTTTGCACACATCCGTTTCTCCCCAAGAAGCTGCTCATTTGTCGGAACCGCCGATATCGAATCCCTATAAGATAGCTACCATACAACCTGATCGATAAAAATCAAGTTCTTGTGTGGAAACTTGTTTAATTTGTGAAGGGTATTATAGCTTCGGTGAAGCCGAAGTTAACGGGTTTTCTCGTTTGACTTAAGATATATATTTCACCGAGAAAATATTTTTTAAGAGGAAAATTTTAGAGAAAGACATTATACTATAGTCCTTCAACCCATGTATTCTCTAAATTAAGCGTGCTAAGAAAGCTTTCTTTTTCAAAAGTTTAATATTTGGAACGTTGAAAAAATGTTGGTCGAAAAAGTGCTCACCACTAATAAAAATGCTACTCTTACAGTTTAATGTCATTGTTCAGAAAGCAAAAAATTATATTAAATATTGTACAAAAATTTCACTAACATCACAATCTATCCCTGTATTGCCTTATCATTAGTCGACCTTACCTTTACTTTATTTCCCTTATGTTTTTGCCAACACACTTTACCTCTAACTGTTTCTCCGTCAATCCGAATTGTGACGTTCATATATAATATATCGTTGATTTCTGGTCAATTTCGGTTGCGGATTAAAATAAATGCAAATGTGCACTTCATGACCTTAACGATAAGCCGTAAATTTCATTCTCAAAATGTTTGTGTATGATGCTAAGACAGACGGGAGCTATAAATTACCTAATTTCAAATGATACTTAGATTGAGAGAGAATGAGAGCTATAAATAATACAATTTTAAGCGTTGCTAAGAGAGAGAGAGAGCTATAAATTACCCATCTCAAACAATTCTAATAGAGAGAGAGAGAGCTATAGATTATAACTTTTAAAAGAGAGCTAGACAGATTTTAAGTTATCCAAATAATTTTTAAGATATAACCACGCCTATAGATCAATTTTTGAATTTATCCATGTAAAAGTCCATTCTTAATACTTGTCAATAACTTTAACATATCTGATTGCTACTATTCGTTTCGTATGTTTACCGGTTTACTCTGCATTCCACCCTGTAGTATAGAATACTGAAATAGATAAAATTGAGAGCATGTCAAGTCTGAATGAGATAAAATTAGAAATTTTGGTGGATTGGACTGCAGATTCCCAATGAAATGTATAGATTGACTATGATTAGGATGAAGTTTCCAAGTTTAAAGGTTCTAGCATCAGAACATTTCAAATAAATTAAAACAGAGTCCCAATGGACTTAAACTTCTGAAGTTTCGAAACATTATTTTTACGTTAGCTCCGAAACCCTTTTCATTTTTGTAGCTATCTTCTACAAGTAACACATATACATATACATATTTCAATAGTTATCTTACCTCAAAATCTATATTGCATCTTTTACATAAATGCCTTCTCTTTCTTAGTATTGCATGTATGCAGTCTGCGGTCATCACGAAGTTCAATGTATTGTTTGCATAATGATTTAATGAGCTTATTATCTGTTTACTAATATTTACCCATGCTGCTGTTTTTAATAATAACCCCATGTTAATGGTTTCCAAATTGCAGAAACTTGTAACTTTAATTTGAGCGGAAGAAGAGAGATACTTGTACAAGTATATGTTAAGACTACCGCTACATAATTGCAAAGTAAGCTCTTGGTTTACTGGAAACTGTAGTAAGTTTAGTCAACATTATTGTACAAGATGTTGATTAAGTTTAAATAATATATGAAAATGTAACTCTCTTTAGATTATATTGTAGTATATTGAAAGATTAGAGAATAATATTTGGCTGTGACAAGGTCTAAATATGGCATAAGTATTAGGATGCTAGGTGATCCGAGATTCTTCAATATAATTATAATATATTTTTGTTTTAATTCTTGATTCAATTGACTCAGATTCGTTAAGCAATAGTTTGTGAATCGTCTCAATATTTGATTCAATTGCTAAAATGAGTTCGTGCCCATATTGTCTTATATCTAAGTTAATCTCATAGTTCGAAAGTTATCGGAGCTTAAGTATTTCTATGTACTTTATATGCACCGAGACTAGCTCTGTGGTTTTATCTTGAGCTAACATTTCTAGACATTTTGAATAAA